CCGCCAAGAAGCAGCGGCGGAGGGGGGAAGAAGGGGTCGAGGACGTCGTGGAGGACGAGGAGGAAGAGGTGGCGATGGGGGCCAAAACAAAGCAAATTAGTGAATTTATCGTTTTATCATTGTAGTGAACTATCAATGTTGTTTTTGTGATTTTTAGGTGTTGTTATTTGAGTTTGCATTGTCTAAAAACTATCCTACGCACTTAAGTTGTCGAATGAATTTTCTGGATCATTTTATCAAGAATCAGTATCTTTCCTCAACACAAAAAAGTTGGGCAAATCAACCACGATCGCATAGAATTTTACAGATCCCAATTCCGAGTCCAAACGAGTGAGATAAGTGACGTCAAAGCGTGATCGTATCGTTAAAGTAACTTTTGCGTACTATAAACTAAAACGCCCGTATCTTATTCGTTTGAGGTCGAAATAACGAGCCGTTTGCGGCCGCGCGATCGTATCGACAAGGAAAACATTTTTGATTTAACAAAATACTTGGACTTCAAATGAAAACGTTAATTAAAAAATTAAACAAGCGATCAATTTAGTAGCAGAATACAAGTAAAAGCAAATTAAGTTGATGGTTGTCCTGGGCAACGCCTCTTGTCGTGACCAGGTTGTCTGCACTTAGAGCATCGCTTCGGTCCCCTTCTCGTCCGTTCAACTTGATCCATCTCATTGTGTATCCTTTCAACTCTAGGACGGCCTTTGGTGCGTTTTAGGTGCAACGGTGGGATAATCAACTTTCCAGCGTATATAGGCCAATACGCTTCATCTGGCATGGGGGTCAACGCTGCATGATATGAGTTCCGTATCGCTTGTTCAGTGTAGTAAGGACTCACCAGGCTGTTTCTGTTCATGGTTATTGACTTAGCAACCGCCATTGCATGTGAACAGGGTATCCTTTCGTTCTGATACTTTTGACAAGAACACTCCCCTAATTCGTAGTGCAATTTGACCGTTTGACGATTGTGACCACGTCTCCCTCCACCCCATATACCTGTTTCGACAGCGAATATTCCTTCACTGCGGTTAAAAAGAACAACCTTATGCTTACTTGATTTTTCATCGTTCTTCTGCATTTGAGCAAATACGTCATGTGCTATTGAATGACCTTGCAACTCCCTCCCTATAGCTAGCTGTAGCCGAGCAACTCGCCACTCGTTGACCTTCCAATAAGACATTTCCACGATGACAGAAATAGGCATCGCTCGAAGACCCTTGTAAACATTATTTATACTTTCTCCATGGTTGGTAGTTGCAATGCCCCATCTAGCCCCGTTGTCCATATGGAACGTCCACATGGGCAACTCTTGACCTTCAGCCCATACTGCTCCAGCTCGGTGGGTCTGACGGATCGTTTTCATGATCTGCTCGTACTTTTTTGGTTGATGTGCAACCGCTAAAATGTGAACAAAAGACTAACTGGTCAATACATGATGAATAACATCAGCTTATCAGCTTAATAAACACAAACTTAAATCGCATAAGAAAAACATGAGTACCTGCATTCCAAAGTAGATTTTTGATGTCTTTCTTCTTCCCAAATTTGTGTTGGAAATTGGCGAGCCAGTGCCGAATACACCATCTCCATCTCCACCCCCACTCGTCGGGAAAACCACCAACAGCATTCCTTATCCCCGCATGTCGATCGGATATAATCGTAATATCTTCCCGCTGTGTCACGTGTTCGTGCAGTTGGTCAAAGAACCAAGCCCAACTTAAACTGTTCTCCCCTTCCACTAATGCAAATGCAAGCGGGAAAATTCGCCTGTTTCCATCAACGCCAGTGGCAATTAGAAGACATCCTCTGTACTTCCCAGTAAGGAAAGTTCCGTCAACCTGAATAAAAATTTAGGATATAATTAGTATGAAATATACTTAACAGCAAATAATACAACATTTAAAACCGGAACTAGTTGGTAAAATACCTGAATAACCGGTATGCAGAACCCAAAACCGTCAATGCATGGTTTAAAAGCCCAAAAAAGACGATGGAACATCAGCTTATCCTGTACTCGAACTTGATCCTCAGTGTATACATTGTTGTATACTGGGACGAAAACAGTCCCAGGATTGGACTCCTCCATTGCTCCCATAAGTCTAGGGAGTAAAGCATACGAATCCTCCCAATCACCATACACCTCAGCCATGGCTTTCTGCTTACCATGCCATGCTTTTTTGTACCTTATCGTGTAAGAATGTCGATCCTTCACCTCTGCCATGATAGCTTTCACCTTGATATCTGGTTGTGCTTCTATAAGGTGCTTAATAGTTCTCCCAACCTTCTTTGCTTTTAGTTGCCTGTGATCTTGGGAAAGTATAGAAGAGGAGCATGTGTGGATCGTCTCAGCTTTGCGAATCACCCAAGCACCCTTTCTCTTCATATTTGCAGCCCGCAGTTGCCACGTACAACCCTCTGCATCATGCTTGCATATGACATGTAATTGTTTACTGTCAGAATATTTTACCTTCCACTCGAAATTACGCCTCAACGCCTCTTCTGTAAATGCATCATGCACAGCGTCTTTCGATGTGAACGCCATACCCACCTCCAGATTGGCCGTTGGATTGTACACTGGCATAGGGACAAAGTCGGGGGGATCATTCTGACTATGTAAAAATTGATTTGGAACCTGTGTGTAATATGGCGTGGGTGCCTCACGAAATGCCGCCTCATCCTCGTTATCATCAGTATCTTCCTCCTCCTCGCTCACTGATATCAAATCTTCCTCAGTATCCTCGTCGCTTGACTCGAATGGATAGCTCGAGCTAGAAGGATCAACATGACCACGATCACCAACATCGTCCTCTCGCTCATGTGAAGTACGCCCTGATCGAATGGTATTCTCGATTCCATACCACTCTGGCCCCCAAGCAGGCCATTGAACACCATCGGCCTCAACAAATGGGGCTGGTTTAGGAGGTTGCGAGTATTGGTCCCATCCTGCACTACTCGATCCACCGTAGTTGATTGAACCACCACCCTCCCCGTAACCTCCTGTATAACCACCGCCTTGGTAGTTGCTCGAACTACCACCCCATTCGTACCCTCCTGCAAAACCATCATCATAAGAATACTGGTGAGAATGAGATTCACCGAGCGCCTCGGTCTCAACATACACCTCTGCAAGCCGGACTTGGTTATCGCTTAGGAACTGTAACATCATCATAACCGCGTCATCATCGTTTATGACAACTTCTTGGAACACGACCCCGCCAGCACTCATGTCTGGATACCGGTAAGTAATTTTGCCAAGTCTCGTCTGTCCGCTCGTACAAACCCTTTCTGCACAAAGATCATAGAGTTCTTGAAAATTGAAGCGGGATTCAATTTTCAGCATAATGGATTCGCCGTCCTCATAATCAATGCCTATGTCAGAGTTTGTCACCCTTCCATTCCACCGAATAGTAAGATGAAACTTCTTGAATTTACCCATATCTACAATTTACAATAAGTATCTATTAGCTTAAAGACAGTAAAATTAACCAAAATCATATTGTACAACTAATATTAAATCATACCATAAGTAACAAAAATAAATTCAACTAACTAACAACAACATAATACGAAAATTAAATCATACTATAACTAACGAACATAAGTTCAACTAACTAACAACAACATAATACGAAAATTAAATCATACCATAACTAACGAAAATAAATTCAACTAACAAACAACAACATAATACGAAAATTAAATCATACTATAACTAACGAATATAAGTTCAACTAACTAACAACAACATAATACGAAAATTAAATCATACTATAACTACTAAAAACATAATTAGACCATAATACGAAAAGTCTCAACATACCGAAAAATTTCTGTTCTGTGTATTATGCTCGATTTTGGCTGCTGAAATTTGAAGAAAGGGGAGTGGTTATGTTTTTACAACTGCTGGTGGTGTGGTATTTATAGGAAAATCTGCCTACTATTCACCGTTTTTGACAAAAACGGTGAACACTATCACCGCGTTTGTCTCAAACGGTGAATAGGTGGTAGCTGCGACCTAATTTTGACCTACCAGGGGTGGGAAACGTGGGAAATGATCACCGCGTTAGTTAACAACGGTGAAGGCTTCACCGTTTTGGTCAAAAACGGTGAAGCTTTCACCGTTGTTAATTAACGCGGTGAAAGCTTCACCGTTTTGGTCTGAAACGGTGAATACTTCACCGTTTTTGTTTAAAACGATGAAGTATTCACCGTGTTTGTCAAACGCGGTGATGCTCAAACATGTGTACTTTGGGAATTTTTTTTATAACTCATGTATTTTGAGAATTTTTTTTAAGAACGTGTGTACTTTGGGATTTTTTCCAAAAATTTAATGTATTTATAAGGCCAGCTCAACATTAATAATAAAAAGCCAGCTGGGCCTAGTTGGGTTGTATTTTTGGGCCTAAGTGGTCAAGCCCCTTCTTTCCTACACGATGGTCGACCCGTCTCCCTGGCCCCCATAGCCGGACGATGCACTTCACCCCTTCGTAGGAAATTTGGCCACCAAAAAACTTAAGTCTGGAAACAACGCGACACAACGGGGTGCCAAACGACTGAGTACCATGTCGGATACCAAATAGGAGGCCATCCAAAAACTAAGTATGGGAAACAAGGCGACATAGCGGGGTGCCAAACGACCGGGTACCAAGCCTGGTACTAAATAAGGGGGCCAAACAAAAGGGTATCAAGCCGACAAGGCAGGCTTGGTACCCAAGTAAGAAATTTGGCTAAGTATGAAAAACAAGGCGACACAACGGGGTGCCAAACGACTGGGTACCAAGTCGGTTACCAAAAAGAGGGTCGTCCAAAAACTAAGAAATTTGGCTAAGTATGAAGCCAACGGGGGAGGCAAGACAGGCGTGGTACCCAAATATACGAAAAATGGTTAAGTGTGGAGCCAAGAGAGTATCAAGCCGACAAGGCAGGGCTAAGTATGAAGCTAAGGGGGTACCATGCGGGCAAGACAGCCTCGGTACCAAGACCCCTCCAAGGTACCAAGCCGGCATGACAGGCTGTGGTATCAAGCCAACAAGACAAGAAATTTGACTAAGGCATGGTGACTAGCTGTGGTGGCCACCCAACTAGGTACCAAACAGCCATGGATGGATCAACCATGATGCCAAGCTCAGCCTTTATGGGGCCATATGGAGACGAAGTCCAAAGACGGGCTTGGTAGCACCTTAACGGGGTACCAAACCGGCAAGGTACAACTTGCCAACTTGACGAAGCTACAAAAACTAAGTATGGGGACCAAGCCGGCAAGCGTAGCTTGGTAATACGAGCCGACATAACTGGCTTGATGGCAGGGGTATCAAGCCAGAGAAACAACAAAAGCAGGAGCAAGAAAGGGAAATAAAACTATGTGTGGAGTCTAGGGGCTGCCAAGGGTATGGTTGAGACTTCATCATGGAGGCAAGGTTGAGGGCTTCAACCTCATCCAGTCAAGACAAGGCGACAAGACCAATACCAATTCGGTTGGGCGTCGAGGGCATCAAATACCAACCAGTCAACAAGACGGGTCAATAAGCTCCAAGGCAATGGAGGTGAAGACCAAGACAACGGTTACCAATTGGCCACCAAGGCAACGAAAAGGGGTCCCTAAGGCGATTGGAGCAACAAGCCGGCTAGCAGTTACCAAGGCGGTTACCAAGACAGCTACTCCTAGTGGCTATAAATAGGAGAAACGAAGATGGGAAAAGGGTTCCATAACCAAACATTTGACGCACGATGTCAAAATTTATCTTTTCTCTGCAACTTACCTTTTAGTTTTTCAGAGCTCTCACTGAACCTCCATAGGAGTAGAGTAACGTAACTTAGCTTGTTCCCAAAAAAACCATCTAAAACATCAAACACCCTCGTTCGAACATTTTTCGGAGAGGAGTGAATCATATTATTAATCGTTGTTCCAGAAGTCAAGGTGCATTCATTGAGTTCAAACACCAGATTTTCCTACCCGAAAAACAAATTGGCACATCTGGTGGGACACTGTGTGTTTGATTTGATGGCTCCACGACTGAGAGAACAAGAATGTGATCTTTCACCTGGGTTTGTAATAGAGGTAGTGGCAATGTATGATCTTGGTCAATTATCAAAAAGTGACGTCGGAAACAATGGTAAGGCAAGAGGCCAACCATCACTGGCGCCATGTTTGGGTGTAACCGCCACCACCTTGTCTCTCCACTAGTCACTGCTGGTAGAAATAAAACTAATGGAGCAGGCTATGGTGGGATACACCAAACAAATGGTATCTCAACTTGATTGTTTCCATACTCGCATAAATCGACGTTTGGATCAACTGAATGAGATCTGCGAGATAAATAAAAATTATTTTAAGGAGTGTCGTCAACTTTTGATAAATCCAATGTTGAGATCAAAGGTTTTGGCGGAAGATGGTGTAGATCCACCGTCAAACATTGCTACTGGGTATACGAGTAATCTAGACTCCGGTGGCCGGACTACTCAGCCACGGTCAGAGAACTCATCGTCTCCAATGGAAAGTCAACTATCTCTTCAACATGGTGGTTGTGGCGAGAATCTCGATCCCATGTTCACCACTCATGTAAAGTAATTGCATGTGCAGACAGTTACTTTAAAAGCCGTCTCAGAGGCTAGACCATGCTTGAACATGAGAGTTCGTGGAGGGTCATTAGCTATGGGTGTGCTACCGCAAGCTTACCCAACCTCGATGTCATCCATGCTTAAGCGGCCTGGTGGATGCAACCCGCCAGGGGGGCATGCAGAGGGACATGGAAGTCTACCACCTGACAAGGTGAAATGTCAGGTTGGGGGGCAAGATGATTTCGGTAAAACTGGAGAAATGGCATTGCCTAAGAGCACACCACGGGTTTCGTCTAAGTGTGGCAAAGGGAGCATGTCACCAACTATAAGCAGTGGGTTGACAATTTTTCCCAAGAAACTACAACAAGCCCAATCCACATGTGTTTCTAGTAAAAGTACTAGTGTGACCCAGTGTGGCAAGGGGGGCATGTCAGTGACCATGAACAATGGCATGGGATGCATGTCTCCATATCCATGCAGTGGACAGGGGGGCATGTCATCATATGTGAAGAAAAGAGTGAGGGGTAATTCAAAGAGTGTGCGACCCATCCAAGCCACTCAAAAATTGTCCAAGTATGAGAGTGTGTTAAGGGATGGACAAAGAAGCAAGTCTATGTTTAATAGCCCTCATGGCATACCAAACATGAACGGCAGACAAGAGGGCATGAATAAGACATCTCGGCATGCAACAAACAAACATGGTCCTACAAAGGACCAGAGGTTGTTAGCTGCTACGTGTAGAAGTCAGTAAGGCATAAGGTTTGAACAGAGCCAAGTTGAACATAGGAGTGGTCATCAACTCATTAAGCCCAAACACTCGTCTTCCCAACCATGTGGGAAGAGTAAGCATGTGTCAAGTTGGAGGGAATTAAGGCAGAAAACAACTTGTGGTCCCTTTGATGGGTTAAAAGAGTTGAGAAATGCTATTGTACCATATGGAATGAGGCAAGCACATCAGGTTCAACATCAACCCAACATGTCTAGTAAGGTGGCTAAGGTAGAGGATCATGAGACCCCCTACGAGGCCACAAAGGCAATACAAGTTGTCCGGGTACCATCCATGGTTGAGTTGGAAAATTCAAAGCCAACTGATAAGGAGCCATTTCTTTCTAAGGAGAGTAGACATGTGATCTACGGATGGCTTATATGGTGTAATACATGGACTTGGCAGTGGGAGTACACATTTGGCACATTAGTGGTTGCCAAAGGGCATGGAAACTAGTGACTTCTGCCACTCCTTACTAAAATAATTGTATAATAAAAAAAATACTATTAAAATAAGAGAATTAAAAAAGAAGATCACAAGCCAACCATGGCTAAAAAAAATTATAGAGAGAAAAGTTGAGTTAGAGTTGTAGAGGTGAAGACCTTGCCACGACTGGTAAACAACCAGCAAGGTGGTTGGGTCAATGGAGCCCTCTACGCTCGTTTGATTAGTGGGTACACCTTGCCACTTCATGGCATGAGTAGCTGACTAGGTGTTTGGCATGGATCGTTTACCTTCCGCGCCACCATTCGAGGGATACCTACTTGCTGAAAGAGGATGGGGTGCTACATTATCGATCGATGAGTGACATGTATCTCAAATCTTATGTCATTTCTCTTTCGGACATGGACTGTCAGCGGGTTCAATGTTAATCGGCCAACATGATTGCAGCCATGTCGAGCCTCTCACACCCTAAGACATGGCATGATACCCTTTTAATGATGTATGGTTTGAGTAGTTAGTCAGGACACAGAAAAATATGTTTAAGTTAGAAGTATGGTATTGATTGCGGAGGCCGTGAAGCCAAGTGGATTGACGCAATGAAAAGAAATCCCTCATGATTATAAAGGGAAAAAAGTGTGATTTTCTGGCAATAAGGTCTGAGTGACCGAGTCTATGGAGGCAAAGGAAACTGAAAAAGCAAGTTCTCGTCGGTCTTGTTGCAGTATTGATGAGTTTCTCCCGTTTTTGTTTTGCTTGGTCCCGTTGAGGTCTCGTGTTGGGATTAAAGGCGAAGAGGTTATTTGTTCTCCAGGCCAAGAGGGTAGTTCAAAAGATGGTTGCTTGCCTGTTACCGATTTGATAAGGAAGAGGTGAACAAAGCACAATAAAGGCTTAACAAGGCTCGGCTGTAGATAGCTAGCCGAGCCAGGGAGGGATTCGTTGGTTACAATGGCATGGTCATGTACTTTGTTTTGGCCAAATTGGTTACGTAGCTAAAGAAGGAGGTTGAGTTAATTACTTAATCAAGTATGTTTTCTAAAGTGGCGAAGCAGTGGTGGAATACTTGTGGGACGTGTGTGGCATTGTGATTAAAGCACCGATTTGATAAGGAAGAGGTGAACAAAGCACAATAAAGGCTTAACAAGGCTCGGCTGTAGATAGCTAGCCGAGCCAGGGAGGGATTCGTTGGTTACAATGGCATGGTCATGTACTTTGTTTTGGCCAAATTGGTTACGTAGCTAAAGAAGGAGGTTGAGTTAATTACTTAATCAAGTATGTTTTCTAAAGTGGCGAAGCAGTGGTGGAATACTTGTGGGACGTGTGTGGCATTGTGATTAAAGCCACAATTTGATTAAGGAAAAGGCCGCCAGGTAAATTTGCATGGCATAGTTGGTGTCAACAACTTAGTGCATAATTCTTATATACTAAGTTGTGGGGCATTTGTTTACCCAGAAAAAACCAGCTTGTACCACGTCGATTAATTACAAGAAATTCAATGGATTTATAAGGCCAACTCAACATTAATAATAAAAAGAGCCAGTTGGGCCTAGTTGGATTGGATTTTTGGGCCTAAGTGGCCAAGCCCCTTCTTCCCTACACGATGGCCGACCCGTCTCCTTCGCCCCTATAGCCGGACGATGCGCTTCACCCCTTCGTAGGAAATTTGGCCCCCAAAAAACTAAGTTTGGAAACAAGGCGACACAACGGGGTGCCAAACGACCGAGTACCAAGCCAGGTGACACAACGGGGTGTCAACCGGGTACCAAGCCTAGTAAAAGAGCCAGTTGGGCCTAGTTGGGTTGGATTTTTGGGCCTAAGTGGCCAAGCCCCTTCTTCCCTACACGATGGCCAACCCGTCTCCTTGGCCCCTATAGCCGGACGATGCGCTTCACCCCTTCGTAGGAAATTTGGCCCCCAAAAAACTAAGTTTGGAAACAAGGCGACACAACGGGGTGCCAAACGACCAAGTACCAAGCCAGGCGACACAATAGGGGTGGCTATTTGGACCGGGACCGGATTAAAAACCGGAAATCGGACCGTATAACCCGGACCGAGACCGGACCGGGACCGGATAGTAAACAATTCAATCCAATCTTTGGGCTTAGATTTGAGGTAAAAAACCGGATAAGAGAGCTCAACACCCAAAACTTAAGGGTAATTTGCAAAAACAGTCACAAACCTTTGCACTTAGTACAAAACTTAACAAACTCCTCACCCTTTAAGGCCTTAGGCCACTCAAATCCCACAATCTCAATGTAAAATCAAGACCGAATTGTGACCGGACCGGATCAAAACCGGACCGGATCAAGACCGGACTGTATCCAATCCAATCTTCGGTCCTTATATTTTCAAAAAGACCGGACTGGACCGGATCAATTTGGGCCAATTTAACCGGACCGGACCGTATAGCCACCCCTACGACACAATGGGGTGTCAACCGGGTACCAAATAAGGGGGCCAAACAAGAGGGTATCAAGCCGACAAGGCAGGCCTGGTACCCAAGTAAGAAAAATGGTTAAGTATAGAGCCAAGACCAAGACCCCTACAAGGTACCAAGCCGACATGACAGACTTAGCAGCCAAGCAAGGCGAAAACAGGGGCGGCAAGACAGGCGTGGTACTCAAATATACTAAAAATGGTTAAGTACAGAGCCAAGACCAAGACCCCTACAAGGTACCAAGCCGACATGACAGACTTGGCAGCCAAGCAAGGCGGGTGCAACTTACTAACTTGACGAAGCTACAAAAACTAAGTATGGGGAGAAAGCCGACAAGGCTGGCTTGGTAATACGAGCTGACATGACTAGCTTGATGGTAGGGGTATCAAGCCAGAGACACAACAAAAGCGGGAGCAAGAAAGGGAAATACAACTAAGTGTGGAGTGTTGGGGGCTGCCAAGGGTATGGTTGAGACTTCATCGTGGAGGCAAGGTTGAGGGCTTCAACCTCATCCAGTCAAGACAAGGCGACAAGACCAACACCAATTCGGTTGGGCGTCGAGGGCATCAAATACCAACCAGTCAACAAGACGGGTCAAGGAGCTCCAAGGCAATGGAGGTGATGACCAAGACAACGGTTACCCATTGGCCACCAAAGGCAGTTGGAGCAACAAGCCGGCTAGCGGTTACCAAGGCAGTTACTCCTAGTGGCTATAAATAGGAGAAACGAAGACGGGAAAAGGGTTCCACAACCAAACATTTGACGCACGATGTCAAAATTTATCTTTTCTCTGCAACTTACCTTTTAGTTTTTCGGAGCTCTCACTGAACCTCCATAGGAGTAGAGTAACGTAACTTAGCTTGTTCCCAAAAAAAACCATCAAAAACATCAAACACCCTCATTCGAACATTATTCGGAGAGAAGTGAACCGTGTTATTAATCGTTGTTCAAAAAGTCAAGGTGTATTCATTGAGTTCAAACTCTAGATTTTCCTCGCCGCAAAACACCTAGCAATGGATAGTCATTTTTATTAGCTTGAATAGCAACCACATGTTGACTTGCTTAGTTTGAATAGCAACCATGTTGACTTGCTGGGATGATGATGAGCAATTGTGTATATTGGATGGGGACTATCCACCATTTATTTGGATATCCCCTTTACTACCTAGCGGCTAGCGTCCAAAAATGAATGATGTCGTATTTAAAGTCTTTTTTTATAACTAATAATTTCATGCTACACTCTTTTGGTATAATATTATTTAGTTCATAAATGTTAACCCATCCAGATCATGTTATTTATGCATCATAGTTATATGAAATAGATTACTAAACTTATTATTCATATTTAATATTCAGATCTCGCGGCAAACCTCAAAAGAATTTGAAGACGCAAATTGAAAGATTTTTCTTCTTTCAATTCTTTGTCTATGCTTATTTTGATTATAGAACAAAGCCTTCTTTTTATTATTTTTAGTCATTATTCATTGAATAAGTGATGATACATTGATTCTTACTCAGGGAATAGATTTGCTGTTTGTTTACTAGCTTCATATAATTTAGAAAAAACAAGTTTTCTTGAAGCCTCTTGGATATCTTTTCTCGATTGCGACCATCGCTTGAGTTCCGCCTCAATTGCATTGAATTGAAACGCCTTTAATCTATGACACATAATTTCTCCATTTAAAAAAAATAAGACATATTTGCTCACATACTAAATGTCTTAAACATCACATAGAGATATATAATTTAACAATCCTGTGAATTATCAAAATTCAACTCATTAGATATAAATCGATTCGCTGATAAATTGATGGTCGAGTTGGCTCTCTAACTAGCCACAATGTTGAAACTTTCATTAGCTCTAAATGAGCCAGCTCACGAGTTAAATTCAACAAACCAACAAATCAAGTCGACTCGCGAACTGAATAAGACTCGAGGTTAGCTCATTAGTAAGTAATTGAATTTTAAACAAAATTTTCCCAAACCAAACTTCAAGTCATTCGCAAACAACTCAACACATTTTTCTGAGCTTGAATAGCAACCATGTTGACTTGATGCTGATGGGATGCTGAATTAAGATGAGGATCAGTATACTGGATGGGGGCTATCCACCATTTATTTGGATATCCCCTTTGCGTCCAATACTCATTATCAACAAACAATACTACCTACCATCCAAAAATGAACGATGTCGTATTTAAAGTGATTTTACTTTCTTTTTTTATTTATTGTTTCGGCCAAGAAACAATGGAGCTCCAGATATGTGAAAGGGTGGGGACGACTCCGTTATCTACACTCCAGCAGTCAAAATTAGCATAGTGATAAGGAAATAGGGAGAGCTTAGGTAGAGAGAAACATTGTAGAGAGATAAGTGTTATGTGAAAAGTGAGTCGGAGAAGGAGAGCTCCTTTACTTGAAAGACCTAAGAGTATATCTATAGGTCAAGCCTTCTCATCCTTCATTGGGCTTCCATTAGATCTTTGTGGTGTTTTGTGGGCTTGGCCCATACGCACTTGTGGATTGTCGTTGTTGTTCAAGTTGGGTCATGTCATATTTACGGGTCCAACATTTGTAAAAGCATATGTTAGGTCAAATTGTCCATTAGACATGAACAAGCAAAAGTGACCTACTAGGGAAAATGTATACTTGTATACATTACCAAATACCAATTTACCCAATCTTTTAATGGCGCGGCATAAGGCTGAGCCATGTTGCTAGTCAAATCAACAATAAATGTGTTAACATGATAACATCGTTATTTTAATTAGGATAACTGTCGCGAAACAAGGTTGGCCTTGCTAGTGGAGTGTCTCAAGCAAGGTCCTGAGTTCGATCCCTAGCGACAACGATGATCCTTGGAGTAGCACCTATCAATAGCAAGATAGCCTAGCGGTGCCGCCGCAAGATAGGTCGTTCTGGAATGTGTGAGGTCCTGGGTTCGATGCTCTCGAAGCTCCAGCATCAATTTGCAGCAGATGATCTCTATATTTGATCTTGTTCCGTCATCACAAAATGTGGTGTGCAGGGATATTCCTGTAATACAAAAAAAAAACAGGATAACTGTCAACTATATTATACTAACATTGTTAAATTGTTATTTTTTTCGCTCAAAATAAAGAAAATAGACACGAGCTTCAGAATGGTCCATAATCTTGTTCAAGATGATGAGCAAGTGATTACTCTAATACCAATCCAATCTAAGATTATAAATTATAATTTTAATTACATAAATAATGTAGAAGACCGAACTTGGTGCAGACGTTTACTCATCGTGGTCGCACTTCTCTTGCGCGGCGCATTTTCCTTTTGCTTCGTCTCCGCAGCCTCTCCTCATTCCTTCCTCAAACGCCTCTCCCGCCGCCGACGCCATATCCCGCACGCTATCCAATCAGCTAGGTAACTTCGAAGCTCCATCTCCATCATTTTCATTCTTTCTCTATTCGTTCAAGGCTCGAATCCTGCATTCCCGCTTGCTCGCCATGGAAAATGAAATGATCATCGCCCATTTCTGTCACTGGTCTAGGGTTTTAGCTTGATCATGCTTTGCCTTTTCTTTCCCCCCTTTTTTGGTTCTGTTCAGCTTATTGTCGATTTTATCAGGTCTTGACTCTAATGTTCTTCCTCTCTGGGACCGGTGTTTATGGCTGCTTCCTCTAGCGCGATGAACTTTTTGCTTGCTGTTGGCGTTTGGTGTACTGCGTATCTTACGGCTGCTCTTCTCTCCTATTTCCGTGTCTTCAGTACCCTTTTCCGCCTCTGAGAATTTCTTAATCACTAGCGATTTTGAAACGAGCAATCAAAATCATGGGTTATGCACAGCTTGTTATTGGCCCGGCTGGGAGCGGGAAGGTAAAGTTTCTATGCGCCTATGGGTAGAAAGAAAGCAGCTTTCTTTTAAGAACCGGGTTATGGAGACAGAGAATTATGTTGATGCTTGCTTTTTTTTTTCTTCTTTCTTCTGTTTGCTTCTTGTTCAGTCGACTTATTGTTCTAGCTTGCACCAACATTGTGAAACACTTGGGCGGTCCATTCATATCGTGAACCTAGATCCTGCTGCAGAGAACTTTGACTATCCTGTTGCCGTGGGTAAGCTCGCTTGCTTCTGTCGTCCTTGTTATCCATTGATTAAGGATTAGTTTTTTCCTCCATTGGTTTTGATGATGGGTTTTCATTTGGTTTGCAGATATTAGAGAACTCATCAATTTGGAAGATGTCATGGAGGAATTCGGTCTCGGTCCCAATGGTGCTCTTATGTACTGCATGGAGTATCCTTTTTATTTTTATTTTCATACGGTCTGGACTCTGTATGATCTATTCCTTCTCTATCCAGGTCTGCCTGGCTACAATAGCTTTTCCCCTTCCACTGTCCTGTTTTGGTTCTGTGACTCTCTTGTTCCTTTTTGACCTTTACTCTACAGCATGATATTGCTTACAGTCATTTTGAGTTTGAACGAGAGATTTGACTCAACTTTTCCTGTTATGTTCCATGTCCCCGCACCCTACTTGAGAATCCTTAATACAAATTATTAGAGAACTAGAGGACAATCTGGATGATTGGTTGACAGAGGAGCTGGACAACTACTTGGATGATGACTACCTAGTTTTCGACTGCCCAGGTTTTTCTGCAGTTCTCTATCTGTTAACTTTTCTGTGTTAGTTAGCCTTGTACTGTAAATACAAAGAACAGGTGGTGAAGTAGCATTGCTTTGCAGCTACTTAAAAACTAATCTTGTAACCTGATTGAAACTCGTTGCAGGTCAGATAGAACTTTTCTCACATGTTCCGGTGCTTAAGAACTTTGTGGAACATTTGCAGCGGAAGAATTTCAATGTGTGTGCTGTGTATTTGCTTGATTCACAGGTTAGTCGAAAGTACCATTATGTTATTATTACTTTTGTTTCATATTATCAAATTTGGCTTGCAACATTTGATTTACTGGCTCGATGAAATTGTATTCTTTTTTCCTTTTGTATCAGTTCATTACAGACGTGACCAAGTTCATTAGTGGCTGCATGGCATCCCTCTCTGCAATGATACAGCTCGAATTGCCCCATGTTAACCTCCTGTCCAAAATGGACCTGGTGACCGACAAACGCCATCTTGAAGAGTAATTCCCTGACCCCTCTCGCTCTCCCCCAACCTTATTCATTATATAACCAATTGATATTTCTTTTATCAGCTACCTCACTCCAGAGCCTGTGACTTTGTTGGCTGAGCTTAATAAGCGCATGGGTCCTCAGTTTCTTAAGTTAAACAAAGCATTGATGGAACTGGTGAGAAATAAATCGTTTCAGTTGGTTTTCTTGTTCGGATGGTTTCTTCCTCCCGCTTCCTTCAAAGACAGTAATAATATAATTTCTTCAGAAAGTCTGTCATAACCTGAATGAGACTTCTTTTGGTTTCAGGTCGATGAGTACAGTATGGTTAGCTTCATCCCGCTTGACTTGAGAAAAGAGACAAGGTACTCTCTTTCTCTCTCTGTATGTAAGGAGACTCGTTATAGTCCGGTTGATGACACAATTAGATATGCTTGAGTAGTTGAGTACAATGGATGCAGTTCATTTGGATCATCTTGCATGAATGAAGAGAGTAATGGCAGTGTGTTATTTCCTACAGCATTCAGTATGTATTGGCTCAAATCGACAATGCGATTCAGTATGGAGAAGATGCAGATGTGAAGATCAGAGATTTTGATCCAGAAGATGCTGATGAATAGATGAGCATGATTTCCGTGCAGCTCGTTGTAGATATTAATCATTTCGAAGGGGAACAAAGGATACATTATGGGGTGCTTTTGAGCAGCGTTTATATCCAGAAATCCACCTTTGTTCATCGCCTTCCTACTGATCTACAGTGAACCAAGTGGTTAACTACAGAGAACATGAACTGATTGAAGGTTTCTGTTTGGAATTTATCTACATTTCACTAGTTTCTGTTGATCCAGTGATGTTAAGAGTGCTGGGTTTACATTTTGGTGCAATTGATGCCTCGGAACTTCAAATGATAGAATTTAACCATATTCCCTTTGTTTAATATTTCAAACGTTTTCCTCTGTTTTGGACTCTACCAATTTGTCCAGTTCGAGTTTCATTTAGATAGAATAAGGCAAAAATACGTTGATAATTTTGGACAAAAATGACCCAAGTGGATGAAATTTCAATTTCGACTGCATTTTCATTGTCTTCAATAATTTTCGGTGAAGTGACGCGTTGTTTTTCGATTTTGGTTTTATGCTATCGGTTTCTGTTTTAGCTAAAACAGTTTTCGATTATACCTAGTTACATGACCAAAAATCATGGTTCAAAAAGGCACGCTTAATCTTACGCTTAGGCACGCCTAGGCACAAGGCAATGATAAAACGCCTCGCATAGGTGTTTCGCGCCTAATTAGATACTGGAGCACATCAATGGAGTAGGAGACATATAAGTCTCTCCTAAACATTACTAGATGGAGCTAGGAAGTCAATATTAAAGGAGAAAATTAAAATCAACTACGAAATCAATTTTCTATATCAATATTATCAATATTTCAAGAACTTTGCGAGCTATGTTCTTGTCATTAAGTGTTGGGTAAGTTACGTTATTAATCATTTTAACTTACGTGAGGAAGTGTTGTGAATTATTATTTTATTCATCATGCAGTGCGAATAGCTATTTTTGTTCCAACGCCTAGGCACGCTTAGTCTACGTCTAAGCAAGCTAGGCGCTAGGCAAAGGCTCAACGCCCGCCTTACGCCTAGTGCCTTTTTGAACCTTGCCAAAAATCATGATATCGCCAAACTTATTAGAAAATGCTTCAAATCACTTATTTAAAATCCGTTAATATAGATCATTAATGTTTCGGTCTTTTGATTTTTAAGCAACCGTAAAATTTATCCAGTTTTCGTTTTTGGTTTATGATTCGATCAGATTTTAACGTTATAGCACATTTAACGGTTTTCAGTTTTGCTCAAGAAAGTCCGAACTGATCTACCACACCTAGTAAGCTAGGGCTTAGATGAACATTTACACAAGATTTAAGATTTCGAGCCATCTTCGGCTTTTCAAAAGATAAAGTTTTAGTTTCCGCTATGGCAGTAGATGAGCCAAATTGTATCGAGTTTTGATCTAATTAGACTCGGCTTGATAATAAACGAGTCGAGCTCGAGTCCAGCTTGTTTACTAAGATCTTGACTTGTGTTTGACTCGAGGTTGACTCATTAATCAGCTCACAAGCTCTACTCGAGCTCGACTCATCAATTAGCTCACGAGAATGGCTCGAGCTAAGATATAATTTAGTTCGTAACTTTTAGTTGTGCATATCATGTTAATTAATAGTAATTAGTATTTGAACAATCTATGATACATAATTTCTTTTGGAAATTATAATGAGACATATTTGATCACTATGTTCAAATTCTTCAACATCATACATAATGAATAATGAGATATATAATCTAACAAACCTATGAATTATCAACAAACCAATGGTAAGTAGGGATGGCAATGGGTCGGGTTTGGTGCGGATTGAACTAAACCCATCCCCATGGCCCATACCCATTTTCAATTATCAAATCCATACCCTCCCCATCCCCATGTGGGGGGATTTTGCATCCCCATCCCCGCGGGTTTCGGATACCCGAGGGTAATCCCCGCCCCGTACATCTGATAATATGATCATAACTAAATTAACACACTTGAATTCAATAAAACATATAACTATTGGGTTGAAACATCAAACCTAATCAATGATAAACCTAATAAAGAATCACTGGTAATCATAATTAGATCATCCAACTCCTACGAAGTTCCATAAATAAAGTACCAATAAATAATCCAACACCAAATTATTCATCTCCAAAACACCTCCTAAACAATAAAAATCCACACATAAAAGTCAAATTATCCTCCAAGGTTCTTCTTTCGTAGAGAAACAAAGTCTATTAATATACCCAAAAAAATTATATTAATGATGAAAGAACATAAAAATTGTCACCTACAACTCCTACGTTACTGTAGTTATATTTTATAATATATGACATGAGTAATGATGGTGCGAATATGGGTATGGGTATGGGGCGGAGGCACTCAAATCCATCCTCGCTCCATACCTACAAGCTTCTTTGCGGGTATTACCCGTATCCGCCCCATACCCAGCCAATGCGGGGATTCCCCTCGTTGACTGGGTTGGGTAGGGTCGAATACCCACGGTTACAGCTATAAATGTCATCCCTAATGGTAAGCTATTAACTAATTCGCTCATAAATTGCTAGTTTACGCGGCTCGCTAGTCATGATGTCGAACCAGCTCATAGTTCAAAACGAGCTAGCTCGTGATTTGAGGTCGATCAACAAGCCATCGAGTCGAGCTAGCTCACGAGCCTTACGACTCGAACAATGCTTACTCAACTTCGGCTCGTTAGTAAACGAGTTAAGTACCAAATGAGCTTTTCTCAAGTTAAATGCCAAGTCTCATTTGCATCCCTAGTTGCCTTGCAATCGTGCAATACATATCCGTAGGTAAGAATACAGTTTGCCACAACTTTATGCTGCATTTGCAAAGATAACAATGATACTATGAAAGCACTCCGAACAATTTTGTTATAATGGCAAACTAGCAATAAGGCAGTCGGAATATGATTGGAGAACATAATTGCGTCATGGAAGACAAACAAGCTTTTTTGACTCTTGAGAAGCAACTCAAAAACACATAGAAAATTCTCATTTAACATAGCAGCAAAAGAACTGAACTGCCAAAAAAGCAAGCTACATCTAGCACGGTTCGTAACAGCAACTCGAGCGCAAACAAATCCTCTTCTTACTAAGTAACAGTTCAACAAAATGGCCATTTCAAGTTCCAAATTACTGCTACTGCTGCATCTACTCATCATCATCATCCTCATCAGCAGCAGAGTTCAGAGCCTTCAGTCTATCAATCAACTTCTGCCTCCTTTCATCAAAAGTCAACCTCTTGGGGTTGTACCTGCAAAGGAGTCACAAACAAGACGGTTAGATACCATCTTCCAGCCAGTAGAGCCATCGGCATAGGATGTTCAGTAACTTAGGCTGCCAGCAGTTTACCTCTTGTGCTGAGTTTGGGCCGGCTTATCAGATTTCTTAGCGGTGGGGTCAGCACGGATGGCAGCATGTACCTTCTTGTACACTTCCTCAATATCGTCAGGTCCAAGCCCTCTCTTCAAGTACTGGCTGAAGTGAGTCTGGTACTTCTCGGGCTCATCTTCTTGCAAGCTCTGCCAAAATCATCAAGGAAAGAAAATGACATTTATTCATATGATTGATTTTGCATATAGCTCTCTCGCAAAAAGGAAAACACAACCATACCCTCATGTACGAAGCGATGTGGCCGCCATAGAGGTATTTCCGGTGAACTTCAGCATCGAGCTGCTTGCTATCTTTGCTGAACCCGGCAAACCTCTTCTCGCTGTGCGGGATATCGAGTCCACCATCGAGTGCACCCTAAAATTAACAAGATGAAAGGAAAGTGAGTTCAAAATAGTTGCCCTGACAGCTAAATCAAACACGCATCTTCAATATGAACTTTACAAAACAAAATTACATCCTTAACCATCCTAGTAAAATTTTCAACTTTATCACTTTGAAATAAGAAATTTTATTCTTATTGTTATGCACATTACAACATTTCCCACAACTCTGCAATATCCTTTATTTATTGTTGAAGACCCTCATACAATCTCATCAATTACTTTCTGATACTAAAAGCTATTATGGAACACATCAACTCTACTTTCGTCAAACCAAACACAGTTCTAGCTTAAACTTCAATTAAAACCTTAAAAAACATTTTTCAATTATAACTTCAAGACGGCAAATTTGCATACCTTGAGGGCACCAAAAACACGATTCCCAGTAGTGGTCCTCACAAGGCCAACATCAAGAAGCGCACGGAAGGGCCTCCTGTCAGCTGGTTCAACAGTATAGTCCTCTCCGCTAGCCTGTTAATCACAAGAGAGTCAAAATCTCAATCCAAACTACAGAACCACAAATCAGATAACCAACTGTGATACGAGGAAACCGAGTTGAATGTTACCTCAACATTTCCTTGGTATTCCTCATCTAACTCAAGCATCTTCAGGACTCTCCGGGCAAGGAGAAGTCCAGTGCAGTAAGCTGCACATATATAGCATCAACAATTGAGCTCGACTCACAGCATACGGGTGAAAACCTAGCGTTAACAAATGGCATTAAAGGAATACCGGCAGCATAATTAGTGTGGCCAACTTCAAGGCCATAGCGAGAGAGCTCGTGAGAGTAAGCAGCTGCCATGACGTGATCTCCAGCAATGGTGGAGTGGATAATCTGAGCTACCACATCTTTGTTCGACTAAGAAGATGTTGTCAAGGGAATCAAACTAATTCAAAGTTTTTCCAGTCTAAACTAAAACAAACTCAATGAACCCGTTGAATACTCAAAATCCAAACTAAACCGCCACAATTGAAGATAAGCTAAGGATACGAAGCGAACAACGAATCGGTACTTCGGAGTATTGTACTTGTTCTTGTCCTGGTTAATCAGGCGAATCCTAGCACGATAATCCGTCTTCCCATCTACAAAAGAATCAAATGTGCTACCATCTCAAACTACGAATCCGCAGAAGAACAAGCAATGAACCGAATCGAATAGCGGAAAGAACCCTAAGTGAGATTCATGAAAATCATTACCGCGGCGTCTCTTGTACTTGACCTGAAACCGCTTGTAATATGCTCGGGTCTTCTGGGCTTTGGCGAACGCCTGATGGGGGGACGAAAAGTAAAAACATCAATCGACTTTAAACGTCAGAGATCGGAGATTCACGGGATATAGAAGTGGAAACAAAGACGAATCGAAGAACCCAGTTGCGGAAAGAGCTCCACATTTCGCTTACCATCGGAGATGTCCGTCGTCTGCAACACAAAGCAGTGGCGGAATGTAGAGGCGGGTGGCTAAGGAGGGAACAAGAGCAGCGGCTTTGATAGACTAAATAGCAAAGCTAAACCCTAATGAGAAGGATAAATGACAAAACCATCCTCGTGGGTTCTGTGAAAAGGTTCAGTCGAGTCACTGAAAACTTTGATTGGTGCGAAATAGCACTCAATGTTTATGTTAAATTTCGATTCTCACGCCGTTGGTTTACGGGTCTAGCACAAAACTACCATACTTTGAAAGGTGAACGGTAGATTTATTCCTCTTGGACCGGATGTTGAGCTCAATAGGCTTAACGGACCACGTATGTAGGGTTAATTGCACTGGATACCATTTATGTTTTAGTTTAGTTGCATGTTGGTCACTTAACTTCTTTTGGTTACCACTAATCATATAAATTTACTGAATTGCTATTCGTCGCCCTAAAATTCAAATAAAATCGCCCTAAAATGGAATAAATTGACAAATTTACCCTTCAACTCAATTTCAATTCTAACCCTAACCAAACAATCCCTTCCTCGCCCCAACCCATATCCGCCGCTCTCACAGTCTCACTCATGAAAAGAACCGTCGCCTCATCAGTCATCACCTCCCCTCCCATGCTCCTGCCCCAACTAGAATATGCTGCAGGCGCCAGAGGGAAGGAGGAAGAAGAAGCAAGTTAACGATTGCAGAAAGCAAGTTAATAAGGATGATGAATAGATATCTAGGGTTTATCCAATTATTCTCTTTTATTATATACATTTTGCACTAGTTAAGATGTGAAAATCAAATGGGTTAGACAAAGTTCAGAACCTAAGGACAATCATGCTAAGAACAATAGTCCTCCTATTCCTGAAAAAGTGAACTCCTGTTGGCGCTGACAATATCAGCTTTTGGGTTTGGCGAGCTATGTTTGCAACAAGGGCATTAAAGTAAATGTGATTTAGTTAGGGCGACAAATAAGAAAATTTAGGGCGACAAATAGCAATGCCCTAAATTTAATATTTGTGCCACAGTTATATTTTGCATCCATAACTTAACAGTAGGTATGAAATAGTAATTTTTCTTGCCACATGGACAATCCAGCTCAGTTTTGGATTGTTGACTCACAAAAACATAGCTAAACTTGAAGGAAAATCTCATAAAATGATATCTCAGTTGCAGAAGCAAAGTACTTCAAATAGATCAGCATGAAGGAAAGAAAGTTCAAAAGTTGAAGTACATTTGTAAGCTTAGTAAACAGTGGATAGAAAGAGCTTCCCAGCAAACGCCTCATAAGAACCGACCCACAGGAAGGAGAAAAAATTTCACTCCCAAGAATCGTCATTTACTTGAATCACAACGATATGAAGAACTCTATTATCACTTCCAGAGTACTCGTGGAGGAGTCGGATATGCCGGTTGCTTCTACTTCATCCGGCGAGCCCAGACACGAAGCCTATAGGCTCAAAACTGGCGGCATTGACCCCGATATAACCTACCCACATCCGCCAAACCAAAAACTCCTGCCCCATGGGTGAGCATCTGTTGCAAATCATAGCAGCCCATTTGCTGATCTCGGTTGCCCACTATGTCACATACTCACATTGCCTACCACCAATCAAAAGTTTCGCGACATAGTGATTCATCTCCCCCACCATTGCTGAAGATCTCCTTACTCCAGTCCAGAATGCTCCTTTGATTACTACTCCGTCGAGTTCAGCCCCTTCAACACCGATAACTGCAATTTTATATGGTTGCAATGCCCTCTTGCTCTGCATCTCCCGCAACACATCTGACATTCTGGGCTACGATTCATTGGCTGGTGGAAATAGCAATAACAAAGTATTAGTCGCGATGGTTTCTCTCGATGAGGGTTTGATAGGAGTAGAGAATCCTTTTCCCTGACATCGGGATTGAGTATAAGTTGTTAGTCCATACTCTGTACTCTATTTCTCCTGTATTGGAACAGGGGACTTTGGCATTGGACATTATTAATGATCTGAGTTTTTCTTTTTGGTGCTTTTTTATCCTCGTTTAATCTCACAAAAAAAATAATGGGGTCAATTTTTTAACTCTTCGTAAGGGTAGGTTTGTGTTAGTATTGTGAATAGGTAGTTTAGAGTGAGTTGGATTGCCAAGTGGCAAGGAAAATTACTATTTCATACCCACTGATAAGTTTTGGAATGGAAAATTTAACCGTGCAACAAATTATAAATTTAAATGGTTTAGTTGCAACCAAAAGAAGTTAAGTGGCCACTGTGCAACTAAGTTAAAACTTAAGTGATATCCAGTGCAATTAACCTCGCGTATGTACAAGGCCTAATAACCATGCAAAGCCCATGAGCACTCTAGAATCCATTTTCGGAAAGAAGCCTCGAAACTATGCAATTATTGTTATCGGACGCACCCTACCTCCATATGGGACAGGTCATAGACCACCTGACATAAAGCTCTAACGGGTAGAACATTAGTACCAATAAAGTACAAGGATACACACCTCAATGTGTGTATGATACTGCATCAAATGCTCACCGAAGGCGTGTCACTAAGCAGATGGGACATTCCTAGATCACTTGACATCGCATTTAATGGCCAACCTCAACTAAATCGGGTATAATATCACTTGACAACATTGATGGTAACTCAACTACTTTCTCTCTCACAAAACTTATATGTTTCACACATACATACACACTCTCTCTCTCTCTCTCTCTCTCTCTCTCTCTCTCTCTCTCTCTCTCATTTAAGCTTTGGAGAATGTCACAGGTCGTCTCCTACAAACCTTTCTTGCAGGATCCAAGTGGAAACAACTCCTCCTCGAGTCCATTACTGAGCTCATGCGGGCTACTTCCCACCTGGAAACATTCCAAATCAAACAATTTGGCGTCCACCAAGGGGTCGTGAGTAAAGCACTGAATATTGAATGGAAGAGAGCTCTGAAACTCTAGTAAAAGGTGTGATTGCTGATAGGGACTCTAGAGGAATGGCAATGTTGATTGTGGAAGAGGTAATGGAATTGGAAGACTGCGCCAAAAGCCACAACCGCAAAAATCCATTATACAAAGCAGTCTAAACCATATCCTCTCATAGGTGAAGGCGAAAAAAGACAAGCAAGAAAGTTCGGGAGCACAAAATCAAAAAGAGAAGATGTGAACTGGTGACATCCCTGACAGCCCTACTTGGACAAGATGAGAGGGACTAGACCAGGAGGACCAGGAGGAAGCGGGTCTTAACTTCCTCGAAGAGCATCCATGTCATCATACGGGAAGCCCAAGAGCCTAGGGGTGTGGCAAAATCCACTAATTCGAAACCTTTTCAAAACACAAGTTCCCACCAACATCTCGTGCTTAGGCCTCCCCGGGTACAATGAAAAATCTAACCCAACGGATCACCTTGGCGCCTTTATGCTAAAGACATAACCTATGAGTGGTTCCACAACACCGAAAACCACTTCCCAAAAGGACGTGCAAAAAAGTACTATTTGTACTAGGGAGAATCCAGCTTGGGAGAATCATGTACAAAACCAACAATTCCCTGATACTCGGAGTTCGTAAAGGTAGATGAAAGGCATGAAAAGAGAGCTCATCTCCCAATCGATCACAAATAGCCCTACAAGCTATAGAGTAGAAGACAATTGTTGGAGAGAGGCACTCCAAGGAGCATTTCAGATTCAATAGTGTGTCGGTGAATAAAGGGTCCAACGGGAACTGCATTCCCATCCTTAGCTACTCCATTTAAATGGTAATCCAACCCTAGGACACGACCCACCGGGTGGCTTTGAGGAGAAGGAGTCGCACACTCCCAATCATGGCGAGACAATGTGTCTTCAATCGCCACAGGACATCAATGAAGGTCATAAAAGGTTCATAAGTAGGTCCTTACTCAAAAACTACCAAGGGGACTGGAGCGCCGCCCCACATAACTTGATAATGATGCAGCCTATACACGCCTGTCAAAAATCCCTTGGAATGGTTGCAGATGGATGTTTGGCAAAATAGTCAAAGAGGGAGAACTAGGAAGCAGAACGTCTGACTAAGTCGCCTTATTACTCTCAATACATACGCTCCAGGATGACATGCTAACAACATGGTCGCCTTCGGAGGACACGCATTTTGTGTATGACGTCCCAATCTCACCTAAGTTATCATCGACGTCCGACTAAGTTCCCTTAGTTTCTAAGAGGGCATCAGGCGCCTCCATAGCTACCTCTGTTATCCCTCAAGAATAAGTGTCATATTCAATTGTACCCTCACAATGTTCACCTAACTGGACACGGTCAAAAGCTAACTCTAAGCCGATTAAATCAAATTCGCATGCACTTTTCACTTGTGGCATCTCTGAAGCCAATGCTTCCTCTCCTCTCCATCGGGCAGATCGTGAAAACACATATTTGAAGGGGAGGTCTTAATCTGCTCCACTCGTACTCATAAATACTCAAGGGAGATAGAAGGTCGAGCATACTTTGGGTGGGGGGGGAGGGGTTGCACTGCGCGGGTAGAAGGGTTACTCAAACCACCTTCCACCAGCGACGCCTTTCCAAAAATAGCAGTGTCGCTGCCTCCCTCCGCAGCTTGCACCCATATCCATACTCGCCCTACCAAAAAAATTCTTCATATATTCAGAATATAAGGATCATATTGTAACCTTTCAACGACGAGAAATGTAATAAAAAAACAAAGAGTTGAATGTAATTGAGTGGCCACCCAAACTAAACACTAATTTCTTTCCCTTCATTCCACTTCGTTAACAAAATTATGTTAGTTGTTTATTGCTTAATAGATGTGTCATAGTCAAAGATGAATTATTTAGATAGTATTGTACTTTGTCTTATAAATTAATGGATATTTTAGAATTGTCAAATGCAAGCCTTTCATAAGATCCTAGAATAGTATTTAGCAAGCCAATTTGAGTGTTATTCGATAACCGATCAAAATTGGGAAAACCAGTGGTCATACAACTTTTTCTGGTTTTCGGCTCGACCATAAAATATCGTCGTTTTGGAATGGAATGACCGAATGAAATGAGACTATCATTTTAATGAGTTATATATGTACTCAGTGGCGGATACATGGACATTTAGGGGTGTCCTGGGACTCCCCTAAAATTTGGAAGAACGATTATCCAACCCCCGGTTGTAGTTTCGTGGACACCCCTAAAATTTGGAAGAACGATTATCCAACCCCCGGTTGTAGTTTCGTATCGAAAAAAAATTATAATTGGTAATCCGGGACACCCTTAAATTTGAACAAAATGATTATACTACTCTCGATAGTAGTTTGTGTAAGATTAAAAAAAATATAAATGGTAGTTTGTGTTTTTCGAACCTAGGACACTACTATTATTAAACATATTCTCTAGGTTGCAACTCATTTCTTGTTCTATTTAAACACTATGAAATAGTAAAAAATTTATTCTTTATCCCCAATTATTTTCATAACCTAACAACTAAACTAATTACAGGCTATCCTTAATTTGAATTGGTTTTATAGTTATACGGTAAGAGTTAAAAGAGTCTTTCAACTTTGAGTTACATAAAGAACAAGGTTAGAAATTGAATATGCGATCAATTCGTGAAATATTGTCTAGTATGATATATAGATTTGTTGAACAGTGACGACGTCGAGTGTATTTTATATTCTTTTTCGTAATATGAAAACACGTCATGGCCTTTGTACTAGTCATGTATTTTTATTTATGAATTATTTATTTTAATTATTTATTTTTAATTTTTTTAGAGAGGACATCACTATAAAAAAATTCTGGATCCGCCACTGTATGTAATTAAATGAAAAATTACTAAATTATAGGTGAATTTCATTTAGGATATTAAATTTTAAATTACTATCTTATTGGTATTATATATTTAGAGAAAGTATAAAAGGCTCAAACTCAAATAGATCAGACACAGATCAAACCATTGAATATCAAATCACTTACTTGATGGGCTCAACTACTTGAATGGTTTGAAAACCTTGATTAAATTCTCAAACAAAGGAACAATGCGGGCAAGGATCCTGTTCCTGCCTGCCTATTGGCCAATGCCCCTCTCCATATAACAAGTCCAAAGTGAGGACTACGAAAGCACAAACCGCCAAGTATAAACCCGGGAAAATCTGCGCCTCTGATCTCATCGACCCAAGATCATATCAATTCATCGCAGTACCCACAACCTCAAATAAGGAACCTTCCATACGATTCCGACTGTCTCTCTGAGTAGATGTCCCAACCTGACGTCTCTTACAGGTAATCGGAAAGAAGGGGAAAAAGAAACTCCAAAGCTTTCACCTTTCCCCTCGATTCCACCCTCTAATTTCTCATTCCGTTACTAGGTCATTAATCTCTTCCGTCTGATTATGGGTAAGAGGAGATGCAATTCGATTCAGATGTTGTTTTTCTTGTTGTTTGAATTCCTTGATGTGTCGTTTGGTCTAATGGGTTTTGAGCCTTCAATTCATACATCAATTGGGGGGAAAAGGAAAAAGGGGATACTTTCCTTTCAGGTACTTCCAAATGATCACCGATCTGGGTGGGGTTTTCCCCCCTGATTAGAACTATAATCGGAAGAAGTGATGAGTAGATGAAAATGTCTCTACTTCATTAGTCAAAATGTCGGCTTTTGTGGCTTTTGATACTTTGCGAGCTGGGGATCTACAGCCATGAATTACTAGTTGAGCTCATCTTCAACACTTGAATGTGTTTTCCTCTATTCAATCTGTATAAAAATCAGAAGTGTCTGTCTAGCTCTAGTACAGCGTTCTTTGTTCTGGTTTTTGCAGTCAGAGTCTGCCTCGAGCAATAGATTCAGTTCCCAATTAGTGTACTCTGAGCATTTATTTAAGTCTTTACTCCAGCTGATATTTTTGTGTAAATGAATATTGTGTGTTTTGATCGATACTTTCCCTCAATTACAAAGTGCACATCGTGTTGCTAACTTGTTCTTGTGTTGATGTGTGTTTGCGTTGCAGCTGTGGTTCTTGTGGGTTCCCATTGAACTTGACATCCTCCAACCGAATCACTTCGACCATAGCTTCTTCCGGGTATCGTCGATCCATAAAGAAAGGTTTCATCTCATTTATCTCCATTGACCTTAGTAGATTCACACAGTTGGACGAGCTACACTGCCTTCCTTTCTGTTGGGGATCTTATCATGCTAAAACCAAGCTCTTGTGTCGAAAATGTGGGGTTCATATAGGCTATGGCCATGGCAATTCTCTAGTGCTTTGTGGTTTTGACTCTTCTGCTGAGTCATCATCCACCTCATCCTACACGAAGTTCACCATAAAGATCCGTGCTTTGCAGCCTTCCGTGGAGGAAGCCCATCATCAAACAACATGATCATTCATCTCCCGGATGATTGCCTCTCCATAATCTTCCAGAAGCTCAACTCTAGCACCGATCGTGAGTCATTTGGATTGACCTGCCATCGATGGCTGAAAATTCAGAATACAAACCGAAAATCATTGCAGTTCTCTTGCTCATTCACCGTAATCCAACTTTCTTCATCATCCAGAGCCACCCTCCTTGTGAGCTCCTACCATGTTCATCGGCTGCTCAATCGCTTTCAACACTTGGAGCATCTCTCTCTATCCGGGTGCACAGAGCTTCAGGACTCTGCTCTAAACCTGTTACAAGTCCATGGCTCTAAATTGCTCTCTCTCAGTCTTGATTGTTGCTTCCGGATCACTGATTTTGGTCTCTCACTAATTGCTAACAGTTGCCCATCTCTAACAGATATCAGTTTCTATAGATGTAATATCACCGATGATGGTTTGGGGGCTTTAGTAAATGGATGTCTGGTATTGAAACGAATAAACCTCTCATATTGCCCTAATATCTCTGATCAGGGTCTGAGAGCTCTTTGTAGGAGCTGCCACGAGATTCTGGCAGTTAAGATTTCTTGGTGCAAGGGAGTGACTGGCAAAGGCTTCGAAGGATGTTCATCTACTCTATGCTACATAGATGCTGAAAACTGCAATCTTGAGCTAGAAGGAATATCATGTATCGTCAGTGGAGGTGGGATCGAGTACTTGAACCTCTATGGTGTGAACTTTCATGGAGGTGCGTTGGCAGAAATCGGTTCAGGGTTTGCCTCGAAGCTCAACATTCTGAACCTGGGGTTATGCAGGACCATAGGGGATGAATCAATAATGGCGATAGCCAGAGGTTGCCCCTTGCTTAAGGAGTGGAACTTATCCCTGTGTCATGAGGTTCGGGTTCCAGGGTGGGAGGCCATCGGGGCGAACTGCAACGAGCTAGAGAGGCTCCACGTGAATCGGTGTCGTAATCTCTGTGATTTGGGATTGCAGGGTTTGAGACAAGGATGCAGGAGACTGCAGGTACTGTACATTGGCCGGGCCGGCGGGAGACTCACTTCCACTGCGCTGGAAGTGTTCAAAATGGTTAGAGGTCGAGTTGAGGTTAGACATGAAGAGGTAATGTGCATTGGCCCTGACTGGACTCTATGATGACAAAGAAGGTTAATTTGTTCTCTCCACAGCTGGTGGTTTCTAGACTTGTATGTATATATGCAGTATGTATGTATCAGATTGGATACTGGATTTGATATCGAGACAACCAACGACCGAACTCGTTCTGATAATTCATCGTTAGCATTGTTGTTACAGTCTATTCGAGGTTAACTGTAGCCGGTTCCAATGAAGTCAAATGACACGGGACTAACTAGAACAGCTGCTAATTACCCATTTCCCTAATCAGGCAAACCCACCCACAAAAACAGAAAGGGCAGGGAAAACGTAGGATATTTGTCATCTTCAAATTCCCCACGGAACTAGAAATAGTGAAATACCCACTTTGCTACATTCCAAACTAAAGCTTCGATCTTTCCTTCATTTCCTTCCTTCCCCTGTTTCCCCGTTCCTCTGTTTTTCTTTTCTTGTGTGCAAAATGTATCAGGACGGCTGTTACTCTGTCGCCGGAGCTCACTGGACTCGATTCGACGACAAGAAGTTCGAGCAGGCTTTGGTATTGATCCCCGACCGATGGCTCAGAATCGCCGATCATGTCGGCCGCTCGGCGGCGGAAGTTGTGGAGCATTACAGCCTCTTGGTGAGCGATGATTACGACATTGATTCCGGGAGAGTCGACTTGCCGACTTACCACGACGACTCGTTGTTTGTTGGTGGAGAGGATTCCGGCAGATTTCGTTCGGCGGCGGTGGGAAGGTCAAACATGGGGATGGCGAGAGGAAGAAAGGCACTCCTTGGACCGAAGAAGAACACAGGTACGTTTTCCTCTCTGTTTCTGACATTTCTCACTGGAAATCCTCTGGTTCGTGGAATTTGCTGCTCTGTTTCCATTTTTGGCTGGAGAAAACGGTCGAAACGTTTCGTGAACTCTCCATTTCTGAACCAATTTTAGACCTCCATAAGAAAGGAGGAAGCTTTTATTGTTGATGCAAGTAACTTGCACCATCCGTGGCAAAAGGAGATGAAATCACAACATGCCAACTGAAACCCTTTTTGTGGCTTCCATCATTGAATCACAGGTTGTTTCTGATCGGGTTGAGGAAATACGCAAGGGAGATTGGAGGAGCATCTCGAGGAACATAGTGGTGACGAGAACTCCGACGCAAGTCGCCAGCCACGCCCGGAAGTACTTCCTTCGGCAGAGCTTGGTGAAGAAAGAGAGGAAGAGATCGAGCATCCACGACATCACCAATGTCGATAATCACAACTCCGTCGCCCTTCCGATTATCGATCAGAGGAGACTTCCTCGCCATTCTCCTAATGCCGATGTATGATAACTTTGGATTCCCAGTGTAAAGGTGAAATCTTTTGTAGCTGTTAGGACACATTTGTTGTTTGTTGTAAGTTGTGACATCGTGTACATAGATAGGAAAAAAAGGCAAGTACTTTGCACGACCAACCTTTTGGTACCATTATAAAGGTAATTACCGCTAAAAGTAATTACTAATACAATGGTTATAAGAAAATATTAGTGGTGTTGTTTACGGATATCACATGAGTAAGAATCGAACTTTTAATAACTTAGTTAAAGAAACGAGGTGACTAAACATCACGCTATACATTCATAATTATCGCACAAGTTGGCTACACCAAATAGCTGGTATACCTCCCTCATGGGTGACCCAATAGCAAAAATTTGAATATGCATGTCCTACGCACGGCTCATGGTACTTATTGTGTAAGAGAATATTCCTAAAAAAAAGACTCCCGAATTAAGTATTCTGCTTACATGGTTGACACGAATAAAGACTGTTCTACTTTTTTTACTTTATATTAAAATGTTATTAACTTCTTACCTTAAAACTTTGAAGTTTTCTCGGAAGTATAGCTAACATATCGAGGAACCTTCACCGATATCAGTGCAACATATCCTCGAATCATAGTGAGATTAGGCATTATTTCCCGATTCATAGTGGCCTTACTAGTGTGCGATTTGTAGGTCGGCGTATTAATAAGGATTTGGTGGCTAGAAAGACTCTTTAATTGTACCAAACTACTAGTCGTTTCTTTAACTTTCTGACCTAACTGAATTTCAGAATGTAAATATCTATTTTTAATCAATATATATGATTATCGTTTAAAAAAAATTATCATCGAATTAATCGTTTAAATATCTTGATCATATCATCCAACGACTATGCCCAAAATTTCCTCTCATCTAACGGTAATTAACATTTCTATATGCATATAAGGAGATTGTCTTGTGGTGTAACCTCGACTCAAGATAGGGTGCATAACTATGGGTTATGCACCCATCAATAACCAAATCTAGACCCTTTATTTAGAAAATCAAGATCTAAAGATGGAGAATTAAATGCCATTTTTATTTTCTTAATTGGCTCATATCTCTTTCGTTTCAACTCGGATTTTAATTTTTTTGCAAAGATGGAACGAGTTCATCGTGATCTACAAAATGAGATCAATTTTCAATATTTTTTGAGAAAAAAATCTGACCTCTCGGTACCAACTTCATACAATATGGTATCTTCTTCGTTTTTAATTCATTTTTGACAACGTTTGCACAGAGGGGACGAGTTCATCATGATCTACTGGATCTACAAATTTCTGGGTGAACAAATTAAATGACCAAAAAATACCACACAATACCATACAATACCACCCTGGTACGGGGTGGTATCTTGTGGTACACAATGTTAAAAATCGTAAATGACAATTAATATACTTCTACTATCATGTATTCAACCATCCTACAATCTTGGTTTGTTCATACCACCATGGTACGCTTTTCAAACCATAGGTATGCTCTTATTTCAATACAAGTCAATACCATATGGTATGGACTCGTAAAAATGGCTCAATTTTTTTTGTTCGAAAAATATATCAAAGTGGACATCATTTTGAAGAGCACAATTAATCTGATCTAACTGTGCAAAAAAAATAATTAAATTTCGACTTAAAACAAGTGAGAAATCGTCTGTCAAAAATTAAGGAGGGAAAAATTAAAGGCTTTCCAGGAAAGAGAGGGATACTGATGTCATGCTTATGTTGACTAATTACCCATGGTTACTTACAATAAGGTTACTGACCGGATCCGTTCCTCTCTAATCTCGCTCTCAAATGAAAACCAAAACAAACAATGAACATAGTGGCAAGTTAGTAAATACCAAAAACATTAGCAACAAAAGCCCATCAATAATTCAAAAAAAGGAAAATAAAGAACGCATAGACAAAGGGGGAAAAATAAAAACAGGGGAAAAAATAAAAAACACACTTCGTTTATGCTTTCCTTCTTTCTCGTTTCTTAATATTTTCTTGCACTTCCTTCATCTTCTTCTCCTTCCAAAAGATCAATTCAAATCGAGCAAATCCCTCGCCGGCCTTCCCCCGCCAGCTCCCTCAGTCTATCTCTCCCGTTTGGCGCGTATTCCGTAGAGATTTCACTACCTTTTTCTGTGTGGCGGCACCCTTTTCAGGTTTAGAGGAGGCGGGGGAAAGACCTTGGAGGGGAAGTTTATTTTCGGCTGCTGGGGTTTGCTGTGCTTCGAAAGATGAGCGGCGGCGGAGCTAGTGGTGGGGTTAGGGTTTCAATCCCCGGTAGCGTCAGGAAGACGATCCAGAACATTAAGGAGATCACAGGGAATCACAGTGATGAAGAAATTTACGCAATGCTCAAGGAGTGTTCTATGGATCCCAACGAAACCACCCAGAAGCTCCTCCTTGTCGGTAAAACTTCATTCCCCCCTCATTTCCTGATGGTCTATTCCGTCTTTACTCTCGCCTATTGTTGTCTGGTTGATTTGGAATGTACTGCTTTCGCTCTTGATTTAGCCGCGATCCATACTCGTTGTCTGAGGATTTTTTACTCCACTTTTTCTAGGTTTTGGGATTTGGGGCCGTTCCAGAGTGGGGCTCCAATTAGGTTTTTGGTTTTCCTGGCATGGGTTCCCACCCTTTTATGTTGGGTTACTTCGCCCTTGAGTTTGTTCTTTCTTACTTTCTGGTTAGACTTTGCGGAGCTGAAACTTACACTCCAATGTCTCAAGGGAAATCCCTGCCTCTCCTACTCCATATTTGCTTTCCAATTTTCTTCTAGTAATGTTTCTGGGTTTGGAGGTTTTCTAAGCCATAGCATAAAGTGTGAGATGTAGTGGCTGGTGAGCTCCAAAGACAAAACCTTTGTCACTTACCCGATCTCGCTTACATTGATTAAGCTCAGAACATGACCTTATGTTCTGAATCCTTCTTCGCTTCCCTTTGTACAATTTTTACAAATGTATATGGACTGAATTGCTGGAGCGTAGAGGAGTACTATTACCTTGCAACTTGCAACTGATTTCAATTCTTTTTTTGCAACTGGTTTACTCTTTATTTGCTTCTTTTTGCTCATAACCGAGAAGTTGATGCCTGTCTCGTTTTGCAGACCCGTTTCATGAAGTCAAAAGGAAGCGCGACAAAAAGAAAGAGGTATTCTTTCAAGTTCATAATCGAACATTAGGCTTATTGTCCACCCAATGGCTTGTACTTGGTTTTTACAAGATTGCATCATGCTTAGGGGATTTCATTCCGATTATATGTTTTCAGACGAACTTAGAAAGTAATCTTAGCAAGTGAAGTAGGGAAATCATGGTTTGTTTTGTTTGTGCCTGTATTTCTAATTGTGAACCCAGGATAGAAAAGTGATCTTCAGGGATGGGTAGGTGTGTGAACTGTATGCCAAATAGAGGTGCAAGATTCTGTTAGTGACTCTAGGTTGGTGAACAGAGATATTTGCTTGTTTTTATAATAACCAACGATGTGACATTTACATCTCCTGAATGTTAACCTGGGTTTAATATGCTGGACAAAAAGGGGCAGGAAGAGATTTCTCACTTCTTTGAGGTTATTGGATTCTGAATGTTTCAAGTCGTCTAGAATTGGAAAATTTTCTCTGAAGTTGCTTTCTACTCTCTTCAGTGTCATTTTGATACTGGTTAATCTTCCCTTTTCAAACTCCTGCAGAATGTTAATAATAAAGAGGCAGGAGATTCTCGGTGGAGATCAGGCACCCAAGGGCGGGGGAGTAGGGGTGGTCGGATGAACTATACTCGTTATTCCTCTCATGGTAAAGAACTCTAATACCACAATTTCTTGGCATATGTTTCTATTGTAGTTAGAAGTGACGCTATTGAAATGCTCAGTTTCTCTTGAAAGGCCACTATTCTGTTGCTGTATCAGTAATTATTGTATTTGATTATTTACATTGACCTGCATATGTAGTGGCTTTGAACTGTTGTTATCTTCGTAGAAGTGCACATTAGACATGTACTAATGTGCTTCTAAAGCGTTATATTTCGTTTGACTGTGTTCGACTTCAATGTTTAACATGATAATGCAACTGGACCTTCTTCCAGATGGAGGTAGTGGCCGAGCTCCTATCCCTGGAAGGGAAAGTAGTACCAGCCAACCTGCTGAGAAAGTTGTTGGCTCTTCAGCACCAGCTTCCCAGGAGAAAAGTAAAGACACAACTACCCCTGAAAGGTAACTTGTTTATTAATTCAAATTTGCATTTTTTGCTTTTCAGGTCATCTGTCTTTAAGTAATCATTTCTCATAATCATCTATTCCTCTGTCAGTTCTGTTGCTGTTGTCGCCAATGGTCCTATTGGCTTAGCTTCTGGCGCTGCTAGTGAAGCAAGGGAGCCAACTGCTGCCAATAAAACCCCTGTAGTTGCACATGGAACTGGTGACACAGTTGTAGAGCTTGTGCCAAGCAGTAGCAGCGCATCAGTCTCAGTGACTGCAGTATCCTCATCGACTGTCTGTTTCTCATCTTCAGATCCTGTACTAGTGCCATCTAATGATTCAAGGCTTGCTGGCACAGTGGGTACAATTAAACGTGAAGTAGGGATCCAGCGAACTCTTGCTGATACGAATGCTGTTCCTAATTCTGAGAAACCAGGTGAGAATCCTGAACCAGATTCAAGTTTTAGTGATGCAATATGCTGTACTATGATTTCTAACTGCCTTCCGATTTTGCAGTTCCAGTAAAGATTTCGAACAAACCCCAAAGTGGGGGGAAGAGTCAGTTCAGTGAATCTTCTCAACCCGCATCTGCATCAGTTCATACTGGTTCTTCTATTAGTAGACCATCCTCTAATTATGGCAGCAGGTCACAACAAGTGATTGGTACTCAAAAAGGTAATGGCTGGAACTAGATATTAAACTTTGTCATCCCCCTCCTGTTTTTGCCCTTTTTATTAATATTCTTTTGTTTCAACTTCACAGCTACTGCTGGCACTCCTGTTATTTGCTGAAGAAGTTTTCTTTATTGAAATCACATGGTTTTCTAATCCATTGTTGGTGTATTTGCTTTGACCTTGTATCATATATTGATATGGATAATTCTGCATGCCATTCTTTCTTACTAACTGTAACAAGGAAGACAGTGTTTCCACGAGAAGATACCTATTCTTTGTTGCTATTTGTTTCTTTCGTTTTGGCTGGTTAGTTGATCTCTCTTTTTCCCCCTTTTTTTCTTTTCAATAGCTGGTTCTACCAAAGAGTGGAAACCAAAGACTACGAACTCCACTGTAGCCCAGGTTTCTGGTATAGCTAGCTCGACGGAAGTTCCTAATGCACCAGTTGAAAGTGTTCCTCAATCAGTTCCTCAATCACAGCCAGCTTCAGGAGGTGATTTGGATGATTTAACTTCAAACTTGCAGAAGTTGGAGCTGCCTCTTCCACAGCGACAGCATGTTATCATTCCAAACCATATCCATGTTCCGGAATCAGAGAGAACCAAGTTGAGCTTTGGAAGCTTTGATACTAACTTTGGTGTAAACTCAAGTTCTACTAGTGGGCCAGAGAGTGAGAAAAGCTCCACTCCCTTGTCCGAAGCAACACACAGCGTTGAAGAAGCTCTGGAGGAGCCAGCAGCAAGGTGTGTATTAAATAAAAATTTTCAGTTTAAATTCAGACGCTCTGGTCTTTGGTTTAGTATCATGGCCATGGAGTTTGTTATTGAGTTAGATAGACTGGTGCCATCAAATATAGGTTGTAGCATGTTCAACATCTGTCTTGTCATTTCCACTTTTATACTTTTCCTGACTTGTCATACATGGCTCCCAAAGTCAAGTTGCAGTCACTGAGGAGGGAGCTTATCCTGATCAGCCACAGCCACAACCACAACCACAGCCACCTTCTCCTGCAACTGGCGATTTGCAAAATGATGGTGATGTTTCGGCCAGCGCAGCACCTGATTATAGTGAGGGCAAGCAAGAAAATGCGCTGTCTGCTGCCCATCCTTACTCAGGAGTTCATGCGCCCCCAAGCTATTTTGGTATTGTTCATCCTGTGATGGGTGGCCAGATTCCGCAGTTTGAAAGCTCGGAATCTCAACCACGTGATGTTTCTCGCCTGCCTAGCTTTGTGGTAAGTTTTAAGCTGTATGTCATATATAAATGTGGTGGTTTGATAGTCACTTAAAGGGAAAAGCTTTCAAGACTGAACTTATTGTGTGGTTCCCAAACACCTGGGTTTATATGGTTTTATGACACAATATGATGTCTCCATAGGTAGTTTCCTATAGTTATTATAAGAGAGAGCTCTAGGCACTAGCTGCTGGCCTCTGGCATTATCATTGCCAAGGCACTGTCATGCCCGCTGTGGCTTATCACATACTAATTTTCCTTCTTGATTAGTCTTTCCTTTCGTGATTTGAGTCCATTTATATTTCTCTAAATCTCCTTGGAGCCTGTTACACTGCATTAGAGAATGCTGTAAACTAATAGTGTTGTAGAGAAACTTCTGAAATGTTTGTATTTCAAAGACTAACGAAGCTGTACAAATCTTAGAATATAGCCCAACTAATCATGGTTAATTCGAGAGTCATATTCTTTCCTTTTCTTTTGGATATTTGGTTCATGTCAATAAGGAAATACAGTAAAGCATGCCTCAGATAAGTTACAATGATTGTGATACCAGGCTAATTCCTAGTCCCCCCTCATGTTGTTGTCTGTGGATCCTTCTGTAGGTCCAACAGCCATTTGATCCAGCAAGTTACTATGCACAGTTTTATCGTTCTGGTGCGGATGGCGATGGCCGTGTTTCTCCTTTCCCGTCTCCTGGAGTTGCTACCAAGTACAATGGGAATGTTGCAGTGTTACCTCCACACACTTCCCAGTCTCCTCAAGAGGTATTAACATATAACATACAGACCTTGGCAAATTGTTGTTGCTTGAAGCAATATGTTATTTGTAGTAACACTGGTTACTTACTTTAGTGGCAAATGGTTGTTTGTTCTCTGTTGAAGCCAGTTTTGTTTTAGCGAGGTGGCTTTTAGCTCCTAATAATTTGTGACATTCACCCTAAATTGGTGTTTTAAGAAGTTGGATCGAGTAAGTCTGTTTGTTTCAGCTTTAATGTCAACTTTAAATTTAAACTAACACGCCCATCGAGTTCCTTTGAGGTTTACTCAACACCGTATCCTGTACTAAAATCAGCTTTTGCATGGGTTACGATTATCCTTTTTGAGTTGCTGAACTATTTGGTTCTTACTTGCTTATTTTGATCTTTATCTGTTTTCCTTGCCGTCTAAAATCTTTTCAAATTTGATATAGGATCTGAGCTCAGCTCTTTCTTTGACATTTGCAGGGCACAAATTCATTGGTCATGTCTACAGGTGGCCCGACTCCCCTGGCAACTCAAGCTGCTGGGCTAATGCAGAGCTCCCTTTCCCTGAATCAACAACCAGTACCAGTGTTCCGTCCACCAACCGGGTTGCACATGCCCCACTATCCCCCAAACTACATTCCCTACGGCCACTACTTCTCTCCATTCTATGTTCCACCACCAGGCATCCATCAGTTTTTGAGTAATGGTGCATTTCCCCAGCAAGCGCAAGCTGGCAATGTGTTTCCAGGTCCACCAGCAGCAGCTGCAGCCGGGGTCAAATATTCACTGCCGCAGTATAAACCTGGAACTAATGTGGGGAACTCGACTCACATTGGAATGGCGAGCGGCTACGGCCCATATGCTTCGGCCCCAGCTGGTTATAATCCCGGTTCTCAAGCAGCTGGGGGAAATTCAACTACAAATGAGGATCTTGGTGCATCCCAATTCAAAGAAAGTAATGTATACATGTCTGGGCAGCAGGTATTTTGGTAACTTCAATTCATAGAAGTTGAGTTCTAATCAAGTATGGTTTGTCCTGCAGAACCTTTTTATGCAATCAAGAATGGAGTCTGCCATTTCATATATTTGATAAATGAGATGCCTAGTGCGATTGTAATAGTTTCTTTCGAGATTTCATTTCAACACAGGAACCCTGCTGAAATTTCATATATTTGATAAATGATATGCCTAGTGGGATTATAATAGTTGTCCTCTCCAGATTTAATTTCAGCACAGGAACCCTGCTGAAAGCTGAATTTAAGTTTCCTTTAGAATGATGGTTATGGGTTTTGGTTAGGGCTCTTTCATTTTTACTTGTCCTGGTTCTGGTTTTGGCATTTGAAATGATCTATCTGTTTTGAGATGAAATAAAGTTCTAAATTGCTGAAGAATTTGCCCTGTCAAACAGAGCGAAGGTTCTGCCGTGTGGATTGCTGCTCCAGGCCGTGACTTGTCAACAATGCCAGCAAGCTCCTTCTATAACCTCCCTCCTCAAGGTCAGCACGTGACTTTCGCTCCCACACAGCCTGGCCATGGACCTTTCGCTGGAATCTACCACCACCCAGGTCAAGCAGTAACGGCTGCAGGAGTCCATCACCCACTACTGCAACAGTCTCAAGCCATGGCTGGTGGAGTCGACATGGGGGGACCTGCTGCCAATGTCTACCAGCAGCAGCAGCCTCAGCATCAACAGGTGAACTGGCCGAGTAACTATTGAGCTTAAAAGAAACTTACTTTTTGCAGAGTATTATAGTTTCAGGGAAGGGGCTGTGGGTGGTCATTCTTTTGGGAGAACTTAGATGAGTTTTTAGAGATCAAGGGAAAAACCAGCAGCAGGAAAGTATGAACAAGTTATTTTTCGACTGTGGAGATCTGACAGTCTGTACATCCAGAGGAGAGGAAGACTGAAAAGAACAAAAGTAGTATCAAGCTTCTAATTTTGCTTCTGGGTTGGAAGGGATGAAAAATGAAAAAATAGGGGTGGTTGGGAACTCTTGTAACAGATTGACCAATTTTTAAGCTTTAGTTGGGTAGGCAAGATGTAGTCCCTGCTTCTTCTTCTTTAGAAGCCTGTCCTGTTACCCCTCTCCTTTCCTTCCCTTTGTTTTACTTGTTATAGTATTTGAAGAACAGTGTTTAGTTTCTCTCTTCTCCCTGAGAGTTCAGTGTTGAGTTCTCCATTCTTTTCTGGTAGTGGATTGGAAGGGGCAAGATATAGGTTGGTTGGTTGGTGGGGAATCTTCTGTTTCCTTTGCTCGTCTCATTGTTCCTTGTTTTTGTTCCCTTGGTTTTTGATGTAAAGGTGAATTTTTGATAGCAAGAGAAGTTTCAAGTGCTGTTTGAATGTTATGATTTGGCAGCTGTTTGTAAAACCAAGGTGAAAAGATGCGTTTTCTTCAATGCATTTTGGTTTTATTGCAATTGGCTATGGCGGTAGCTGGAGAAGGGTTAAAGAAAAAGGAAGAACGGAAACGCTTTCCTCTCTATGCAAAGATTTGAACGCGCTCCTCTCTTGTGAAATATGCTTGATGGTTTGCAGGAGAGCAGATCCTGTAACTCTTTCTAGCTTGGCAGAAAATTCCAGGCCACCATATGGGCAGGTTCGGGTGGGTATTTTGATACCAATACTGGTTTCATCGCATTTATCATGGGGCGTAGGTTGAGGCAAATCAAAATACCCATACCAGTTACATCACATTTCACGGGGAGCGGGTTGGATCCCGTCCTTAAACCCTATTCTTTAAGGAGAATCTTAAATCCATTATAGCCAATAGGAGAAGGAGAGAGATAAGCAATAACAATAATTGATTAACTACCCAAAAGGGCATCGCAGGAAAAAAAAATGCCATTAAATTCAATGGGTCCGGATCCCATCAGTAACCAACATATCAGTAACCACTCTATCAACCGTCCATTCCATCTGCTTTTCAACCGTCAGATCAAGCAAAAGTAACTACACGGGGAGGGGGGGGGGGGGGGGGGGGGGGGGCAAAATAGTAATTTTTCCATCTGACAATTTGAAAAGCAGACGTGACATTAAACCGTGCCCGCCTTCTTTCCTTCTTTCTCTCACCTTTCACGCGACAGTTGCACTTCCCTATGCTCTCTAACTCTCCATTCTTCATCCAATCGCGCACCAAAAACTTCAGAAAACACAGAATCATTCAACGATTTTCGCAAAGGTTTTCGAAGAATCATTCAACGATTCACTGTTCTCGCTTCTTCGTTAAAAAACGAAGGGTTTCCAACTTCAACGAGGCTCAAAAATCGTTTTCGCACAAAATATCAAGGTAAAACCTCACTTCTTTCTTCGAAATCCATCCATAGAACAATAGAAACAGTATTTCAGTCACTCTTCATGTGAAAATTGTAGTAAAACTCGCTACATTACCGAATCGTTAGCATGCGTTGCTGAACTGGTGTAGAATCTGTTGTGTTTTGCTTCGTTACCACATGGTATGGCGTGGTAAGCTATGATTTCACGTTATAAAAAGGCAAGAAACCGTAACTCCTTTTGTGTTTTAGTTTGTTACCATATGGTAATGTGTAGTAAGCTATTGTTTCATATTGTAAAATAGCAAAAAACCATAAGTACTTCTGTGTTTTAGTTTGTTACCATATGGTAATGTGTGGTAACCTATGGTTTCATGTTGTAAAATAGCAAAAAATCTGTATTTTAGTTTGTTACCATATGGTAATGTGTGGTAAGCTATGGTTTCATGCTGTAAAAATAGCAAAAAACCATAAGTTCTTCTGTGTTTTAGTTTGTTACCATATGGTAATGTGTGGTAAGCTATGGTTTCATGTTGTAAAATAGCAAAAAACCATAAGTACTTCTGTGTTTTAGTTTGTTACCATATGGTAATGTGTGGTAAGATATGGTTTCATGTTGTAAAATAGCAAAAAACCATAAGTCCTCCTGTGCTTTAGTTAGTTACCATATGGTAATGTGTGGTAAGCTATGGTTTCATGTTGTAAAATAGCAAAAAAACATAAGTCCTTCTGTGTTTTAGTTCGTTACCATATGGTAATGTGTGGTAAGCTATGGTTTCATGTTGTAAAATAGCAAAAAAACATTAGTCCTTCTGTGTTTTAGTTCGTTACCATATGGTAATGTGTGGTAAGCTATGGTTTCATGTTGTAAAAATGGAGGAAAACATAAGTCCTGTTGTGTTTTACTTCGTTACCATATGGTAAGATCTTATAAGACATGGTTTGATGTAATTACCATATGGTAAAATGTGATAAATATATGGTTTGATTAGGTATGGTAGGAAACCATTATGGTACCATATGGTATATTATGGTAAAAAGCATACTAACAGACTATTACTAATTTCTACATTCAGGTACACTATGGTAAAACTAAGACAAAGTTTTCGCACAAGGTGCAGCCCAACAAGAATATCTGCAATTGCAAGGTCAATAACAGATGAGCGGAAAGAGCAACTTGAGATATTAGGCCTATCAGGCTTAATATCAATCAGGCAGACAAAGATAAACAATCATTTTGCTCTGTTCGTAATGAACAAATACAATCCAATGAAAGAATCGTTCAAGTTACCTGACGGGACACGCATGAAGATATCACCAATCGACTTTCATAGAGTATATGGTCTGCCGATGGGGAATAGGGAAGTTGTACCTCCCACGATTTCTTGGGATGACGCAGCAGATTATGCAATAGAAACCCTACTCGAAGTAGATGGAACATCCACTCCAAGGGTAAAGCTAAGTCAGGTAGAAAAAGATCTTCCTACAACCACACACAGTAAGAGATGGATGCAATTGTTCTTTCTGCTGGTCACCGGAGGCTTGCTGTGTCCAACTTCAGCACCTATGGCTGAACTCAACATGCTTGAGTACTTGAAGACTGAAGAACTGAAACATTTCACCAGCTACAACTGGTGCAAATACTTCTTCAAACACATGAATGAAGGATTGAAATCACCAAACCTCTATGTCAGTGCAGATCTTCACTTCCTTACAGTGAGTCTCCCATTCCCTTGGCCATTTCAACCTTGTTACTCATATATTTTACATATAAATGATAATCTTTGAAAAAACTAATACAACTATCTGCATAAAAAAGGTATGCTTCATGTACAAACTGGATGAAATGACATTCTCAACCCAGCTTCGAACACCAATAGTAAGCTACTATGATGATCTCAATGTCGAAACAAACTTTGAGTGCATTAAGAGCTACTACAATGGAAAAGAGTTGACCGAGATCGAAAATGTTGCCAACATTAATGATGATGAGGCTGATGATGCAACTGATGAGGAAGAGGAGAATGAGCCAGTCTATCAGTCACCGAAAAAACAAAGAAACAAAACTCCAGACCAGTCATCATCACTGAACTTTGATTTGAAGAATATCAGAACAGTCAACCAAGTAAGTACATATTATCTATATTACAGTTGTCCAAATACATGCTAACCGTAATTCCTTCTGTGTTTTAGTTGGTTACCATATGGTAAGGTGTGGTAAGCTATGGTTTCATATTATAAAAATGGAGGAAACCATAAATCCTGTTGTGTTTTAGTTTGTTACCATATGGTAATGTGTGGTAAGCTATGATTTCATGTTATAAAAATCGAGGAAAACATAATTCCTCTTGTGTTTTACTTCGTTACCATATGGTAATGTGTGGTAAGCTATGGTTTCATGTTATAAAAATGGAGGAAACCATAATTCTTGTTCTGTTTTACTTTGTTACCATGTGGTAAGATATGGTTTCATGTTATAAAAATGGAGAATTGTGATAATAATTACAAATATAATGTATTACCACCATGGTAACTAACCATACACCATACACACATTACCACCATGGTATCTTACAAAACTCCCATTATGCAGGCTGAGAATGCAATCAAACTGCTTGAAGCATCAATGAAGGCAATGATGAAAGCAATCAAAGACCAGTACAACAGCCAAATTGAGAATCTGATCAGACACAAGGAGAAACTTGAGAAAGAAAGCTGTGATGAATATGTTCAGCCCACAGAAGGAGGAAAATCTCAGTGTGAAGATGATGAAGAAGAGAATGATGAAGAAATGAATGCCAGTTTGGATAAAACAATCAATCAAATATTCAAACAGGCAAAGATAGACAAGAACAAAGAGGAGAACGAGGAGCAAACACAGAAAGAAGATGATTCACAACAATCTACAGCCGATCTTGCTGCATCTACACCAAAGGATCAAGATGATTCTGCTCCAGCAGCTGTGAATAAGGAAAGCATCCAAGAAGGAGATCCACTGGGGAAAGTTGCAACAGAACCACCAGCTGTTCAAGAAGATCTGAATCAGGGAACACCACAACAAGAGAACACCCCGAAAGCAGTTCCAGAACAGACATCTGCAAAAGAAACAGAAGAAAAAGGAGCTACAAAAACAGCAGATCCAATGGATGTTGATAAGGAAACGACAGAAGAAGGGAATACAGGGAAAGCTGCACAAAAGACTGCAGAAACTGACAGCGAGAAAACAGTGTCAGATGATGTTGTTCGAGAAGAGACTCCAGAATTGACAACCAAAGCTGCCGAGAAGCCTAAAGTGACAAGGGAAGATGACATTCCATCCTTTGATCTCAGCCCTCTCAAAGATCAAACACCAACAACACCAACAAAGTTGACTACCACCACTGCAACCAATCAACCAGGAGAGCCTCGCAAAAGAAGAATTGTGGTGAAGAATTTGAATGTATA